ATTCCTAAGTTTTTTTCAGTTCAAGTTGCTTCTTTGAGCAACTTTTATTGGTTCATGCTAAAAACTATTGAAATTTCGGGTTCGAACCTGCATGTTTCCATGAAACAATAGCTAGATTTAAGGCAAAGATCCAATTAATATAATCGCAAGGTTAAGTTATTAGGTTTAGCAATGCATAGAAGCGGCTTTAGTTTATGTAACCCTTTAGTTTATGTCTTTGGTAAGATGCGTGGCAACAGGGTATAATAATTCCATAAGGCGACTCCGAAAACGATGTCTTGAGTTCATTAACAAATTGATACAACAAAATGCTGTAATTATCGCGTAGAGAAACGAAGGCCAAACAGAAGCAACAGCAGCCGCTGCCGCCGAGTGGCAAGGGGCATAGCAAGCGGAGGAGGAGCAAAAGGCAGGAGCAGAGGCAGGGGCAGGAACAGGGGCAGGGGTTGGGAGTAGCGGCAAGTTCCACATAGCTCGAAGCTATTTTCAGCAGCGTTCAGCAATTAAACACTCGACTCGAACTGAAGCCGAAGCTGAGGCTGAGGCTGAGGCTGAGGCTGAGAATTGTGTGGCTGGAGAGGATTTCGCAGTTGCTTCTGCTGCGGGTTTGAACCTTGTTGTTTGCTGTTTAGCTGTTTGCCATTATGGTTTATAATTATAGGCGCTGGAATGCTGACCAAAGTGGGCGTCAAAAAATGTTCTTTTTTCTCTTTTTGCCCAGTTCTTATTTAGTTACTTTGTGTGTTGGCTCGCAACGCCCACTGTGCGAACAGGCACTTGAGGCCGCTAAAGAGTGGGTTCTATAGATGAGATGCAAACCTTCAGATACCCAGAACCCAGAGCTACCGCATTAAGAAGTAGCTCCAGAGAAATCAAAAAAAAAAAAACAAAAACAGAAATGAAAACGGGCTTTGCGCTCTTCCACAGAAACATGAAATGGCACTCGAGTAGTTGCCCACTGATAAGAAATGGAAAAGACTAAAGAGAGACCTGCAAAACACAATGAAAATGTCATGAAACGGAACGGAACGCAACTCTAAGCCATATAGACGAGCTCTTGACAAAAAAGTCATGTAAATGTTGTACTAAAGCGCAAACAAATTCGTTGGAAAACAATATAAATGCGGCAAGGCTGGCGCTGAAAGGTGTGTGTGTGTGCGTGTCTATGTGTGTGTGTGTGTGTGTGCGTGTGTGGAGCTCAAGTGCGTGCCACAAGCAACAACAAAAACAACAACAACAACAACAACAAGAGCTGCAGCGGCAGCAAAGGCAACGCCTGATTAATTTTAACTGATAAGCGCGTCATTTGCCTTTGTTTGCCTCCGTGATTGTTGTGCGTCTGTGTGTGTGTGTGTGTACATTGTGTGTAGGCTGTTGCGCAGGCGCAAACATTTACCAGGTCATACGCCCCAACACACAGCACACACCACACACCACACACACACACACCTGGCACATTCTTTATCTTTATCGCATGTTTTTCCTCATGTTGTTTGTTTCTCTGTTGATGAAACGTCGCAGCGCAGTTGCCGTCATCAGAGCCACGTTCAAGAAACAATTACAAACATAAAAGCGGCCATCAGCGGACCCATCAGCCATGCCCCCGCACCCGCACCCCAGTCCCCCAGCCACAACCAGGCCAAGTGCCCAGCGATAAGCATCGGGCCAGCAGCGGCTTTTGTCTTTTTATTTTTTTTTGAACACGTCGCGCAAATTTCGGCGTAAATTTGTTGCGGCCGCACGTCCTAATCAAGTTGTAGAGCAGCTAACTAAAACAGTTGCAAGCTGCATTCACAGATTTGACTCGGCTGCGGCACAGGGAAGTTGCAGCTAATCGCTTGCAGCTGCAACAGCCGGAAACGGCAGCAGAGTTGACAACTTTTGAGCAGCCAAAAAGGAAGTTTATTCCAAACAAAATTTCAATTCATATTCATAGACTTACATGAGCTCATCTTTCCTGTATGGACTCATAGTTATAACCAGCTTAACCCCATTGATAATTGAATGCCAAGCCGTACTAGCTTTAACTAGGGAATATTATTTTATTCTCTTTGCTTGGAACCACATATGTATCCAGGCAATAAACAGACTTATTTTGACAGACTTATTTTTAAAGATCTTTGAAGTGATTTATTTAAGCTGGGCCCTCAAAATATCCTATTTAGACATAGACTCAACTATAAACTCAACCGATTTTCATAAAGTTCGGCTTTTTGTTTATGGTTTGGCCTCTAGATAAATTTGGCATCTAAATCTGACAACATTATTTTTGGTCGAAATTCATATAAATTTCCCTCGCCTGTTTTACCCAATTTCAATGTATATTAAATGGCCAGAATTTAGCTATAAAAAAAAAGCTAAATGGGCAACACTGTCAGGCAGCACACACACACACACACAGAGAGATTGCGGGGCAGCTACACATAAACATAATTTAGCTGCAGTTGCCACATAAACTGCAGCAGCAACCTTTAAGTTATGAGCCCAACGCGCAGTCAGCCGCGTTTCATTTTGTAATTATAGACGAGAAAACACCCCCTGCTCCCTCCACCACCCACCTTCTACGGCAAACCTCTGCCATGCCCCCGTGCTGCTCCTGTTAGCTGCACCTGCTGCAGCAGGCAACGCAGCGCCTTGTCGATCGTTCGGCTGCACCACATAAATTCCGCAGAACTTGCAGCGCTTGAATGTAGCTGCTGCTGCGGCTTCTTCCTTCGGCTGCTGTTGCACTAATTTATGGCTTGCTGCTTGAACGATTGACTGACTGACGGACTGACTGACGGACTGACGGACTGACTGACAAGTTATTTGCCTGTGTCTGGGCCATTGGGCTGGCCATGTTTTTGGAATCTGCGCTGTGGCATTTTGCTGGCGTCCAAAATTGGTTGACAACGAGGCACGAAATCGGCGCTGAGGCTGGGCCAACAACGATAAGCATCTTACAGATACTTTTTGGGCACGCATTGACGAGCGTGCATCTACAAGATACTTTTGCGTACGCTGCCTTGCCTTAAAACAGCTTGCGGCGTGCACTCGTGTAATTTGCGCCTGGCTGCCTGCTCTGCATATAAATGAGCTGCAATCGCTCAGATACTACTCTTGTATCTTTCGGTTTGGACAGCCAGCAAATCCTTTAAAACAACTCGGAAAAATTCAATTAAATTTATGATTTTGCATAAATAACTCCCCAGCGTTATATTTATATCTAATGAATGCGTTCGGCTACAGCTCAACCGCAAATTAAATCAATTTCAATGGGCTTAAGTCAAAAGTTGAGTTACTTTTATGTAGGCGGCGCCAGTTTGAAGCCAAGCGTGTGTGTGTGTGTGGCGTGTGTGTGTGTGTGTGTTTGCCACTGGTTTTTTGAGGCTTTTGTGGTTTTAAAATTTTGATGAATGACCCGGAAAATCAAATGCATGCGCCTGAAAAACTCAAGACTCAAATCCAAAGAGCCGAACCCCAAGCTCGAACTCTGGAGTTCATTAAATTCTGGAAAAAATATACATAAAATATGCAAAGGCGTGCCAGGGCCAAGGAGATTATCGAGAAGAGAGCCAACTGACTTTTAATATATGATAATTAATTCATTATCGATGCTGTGACGTGAACAGACAGAGAGACAGACAGGCAGACAGGCAGGCAGCCAGCACAGAGATGGGGCGCAGGACAAGGCTTTCACTTGCAATTAAAACGAACAAGACACAAAAATTGCACAGGCCACAGTCACAGCCACAGCCACAGCCAAGCTAAAGCCGAGGTTGAGGCTAAGCAGGCAGCCTCAACTGGCCAGGTTAAGTCCAGAATCCGGGCACCAGGCAGTAGCATTCATTGATTAAAGCGCGCGCCCGGCTCGACATGGACTAAAAACTGATTATCTGCATATAAGCTAACTAAAAATCACAGGACGCAGAGCGAGCGAAAAAAAAAAACAAAAAAAAATAATTGCCCAGAACTGTTTAACATATCAGAGTGGGAGATAGGACAGGTATGCAAAGAGAGACAGAGAGAGGGAGGCGGAGAGATAGCAAGGGTAACTCCAAGTCGAGTGAGTCTTTTATAAAAATTCAACAACATGTCATTGGCAACGGCGTCGACGTCGTCGTCGTCGTGGCCCAGTGCTGCAGGCACCCTCAATGTCGAAACGTTGCCTCTCCTGGCTGTCTGTCTGCCTGTCTGTGTGTCTGTGCGCCTTCCTGTGCGACTTTGACTGCACAGGACATGGACGTGGACATGTCAATGTCTGTCTGCCTGTCTACTCGCCTGCCCATGGTAACTCTCTGATCCATATCGTTAAAAGTTAACGCTTTAGCGGGCCTTAACATGGCTTTTAGCGTTAATTAACAACGAATTTTTTCGGAATGCAAAATGCAACAACAGCTAACAACGGCAACAAACAACAACAACAAACAACAACGGTCGAACAAGTACACAGAATGTTAAGTGACAATCAGCTGATAAGCCGCAACAACAGCAACGGCAACGGCAACAGCAACTGCTGTAGGCAACAGCAACAGAACACGATAAGCCAAAAAGTTAACTTCGAAATTCAATGAAAGTCGAATATGAATATCATATGCGAGCGCGTTGTAGCAGTGAGAAGCGCAGCGTACGGCGCCAAATGTTAAGCCTAATAGTGCCAAATGGTATCGATTTTGTTGAGGCAATTGTAACTGTAGAAAGCGCAGCGAAAAATAATTGATCACAAGCTTAACAGCGTGCAAAGTGTCAAGGAAGCTTATCAAATTACTTTAACAGTGAGAAGCGCAGCGAAAGGCGCTCACTGCTAAACTTAAGAACTGTTAACGAAGTCAATGGAAGGCAGTAAGAGTGAGAAGAAAAATGAAACACACTTAAAGTCAAAGGATAATAAAAGTCAACAAGTTTACATTAACGGAATGAATAAATGTATGCGGAGAACTGTAAAGGCAAGACAAAGTTCTGTTAATTACACTTAACAGTGCTTTAACAGCTATCGACAAGAATGTAAAAAAACAAGATTGTTTTATGTTATTTGATCAGATTTTATTCAAGCAAACTAAAAATTAACAAAATTGTTTAAACATTTCTTAGACTACAAACTATAAGTTACATTATATTTGATTGTTATATACACACACAGACAGATTGCGACAAATCGGACTGCGCAGTTCCAGTTAACATGCAAATAAACACTAGTACAGACAACTGGATGATGACGCTGGTCCGTGCCGTAACTGCGAACTAAACGCTAGATCAACTTAAACATAGACTAGACCATTAATTTAACTAAGCTAATTAGCTTCAATGGAAGAGTGCATATAACGCTACAAAAGGAAGCACTTGGAAAGTGTTGAATTGTTGCAACAATTGCATAACTTAAGCGATAATAGTTAAAAACTTGGATGATTTTTATTTTTTGTTTCTGTGTTTTTTTTTTTCTTCTGGAAGGCAAGTTCTTGATCATCTTATGAATGTCTAGGAAGCACAACTTTCGAGTTGAATTCTATATAATATGTATATATATATATATATTTACAATAGAACCATTTGTTCACATCAGCTGTTATCGATTATGTGTTATCGTTTATCGTTTATCATATTCGCATACTTAAATATTAAATCACAGTGGTGAGATTTGTTTTTCTTTTTCCGGTTTTTTTTCTTCTCATACGTTTGCCAAAATTGGGTTCAGAACCGCAACGCCTGCAACAGCCAACGGGAGCCTGAAGAGACCCCCGATATATCTAGATATATATATATATAAATTGGAGATCCTACGTTGATTTCTATCTGGGCGGGCAGAAGCTAAAGTAGGGAAAGAGTTGACAGTGCAGCGAATAGAAACGCTTGGGATCGGCCTTCAGATCGAAGCCATCCACCTTGATCACATTCCATTGATTCTTCATGTGCGCATAGCTAAAGGATACCTGATCCTGGAACGTATCCGAGCGTATTAGCTCCATGGGCTCCAAATGCGAATGGAAATTATCGACAACGGTCAGCGGCACCTTCAGCAGATGCTCTGCAGAGATAATCAAAAAATAAACCAGAGAAGCAAAACAGTTAATATTACGCCTCATCGGATTTTGGCCGTGTTCCCGGCCAGCCACTCACCTATGATGAAGCCCATTGTGACATCATCCGGAAAGCGTATCTTGTCGCCGATGCTAATGAATTTGCCGCCACCTGCTATGGGCAGCATTTTGAGCGTCAGGGCGCGGCTCAGGCAGAAGCCAGCGCCGCCAGTGGCAAACCAAAAGGTGATCTTCTTGTTGGTCGTCGCGTTCTTCTGCAAAATGGAGAAGATGAAGGAGAAGTTAACGGAAGAACTGTATGGAATGAGCTGAGCAAAGGATAAACACAAATAAAAATCCATAATGCATACTCTGTTTAAAGGAGGAACAAAGGGAGTATATGGACTGTGTGCAAGGATTAAAGTTGGAGTTAAAAACAGGCTACGAAAAACTTAAACTCCCACAGTTCGAATTTGGCACGTAGAAACTCTTTACTGCCTTTAACAATTAGATTAAGGCTCGATCTCCTCTGAATATACAGCCAAAAAAGCAACTGCAAAGCTTATTCCCTTCAGCCAAACCCTTTTCAATTGATTTAAAGCAACGTTAACATCTCGAACAGAGTATTGTTTAGTCGTTCACAATCGTTGCCCATCATTTTGACACTGGTTCAGCGCAAATTGTTGCTCAAAACTTAAGAAACTGGTCCAAAAATTAAAACAAACCGAGAAAATAAAGTAAAAATAAACCTGATTAATTGACCATGTAAATGGGACATGTGCGTTGAGGAAACTTAATACGGATACGAAAACCCAAACCAAGCCCAAACTCAAAACCGAAACTAAATCGAATACCGAAAAAAAGTCTGATGGCTCGACAGCAGCAACAGCGGCTCCTCGTGACCTAATGAAGCGTTAAGTTTTTGGGCTTTCAATTAGTTTGTGGCAAGGTTCAGGCTCGGCATGCTCGATTCGCTACGGCGCTGTGTGGCATGCGGCCAGCCTACACGCCAAGTGCTGGCCCAATTTTTTGGGGCATGCAACAGCACAGCATTCATTGCGGGATCAGCTGGCCATATTTCAAATGCCTCAGCAGCCAGCCGGATTGAATTGGGAACGCGATCAGAGAGAGAAAAAGAGAGAGAGAGAGAGAGAGAAAGAGGGAGGGAGAGGGAGCATCTGAGCCAGATCATATCGGTTATTAATGATAGCCTGCGCTGGCAGCTGGAAGCCAAATGGCGGCATAGACAAATGGCCACAGTCGGGCGCATAAATAATGCAGCCCGTCCGCACAGGAGAAAGGCACAGATCGCAGAGCTATGGACATGGCCATAAACACAGAGTCATGTAATTATGTGTATTGGAAAATATGCAAAAAATGGAAAAACCAGTAAGCTCTAGGCGAGAATGCGCGACCAACTGTTACCCTGTATTTAGCGCGGAGTAGGCAGCCTTTGTAAATGACTTGCCTCTATTATTCGATTGTTCCAGCATATTAAGATCTCACGATTATCGCAGCTATATGTCTCTATATGTCTTCATTGTCGGGAGGAGAAAGTTCTACACTTATGTTGGACCAAGCTGTTAAAACTTCTTAAGTTTGTTTTTAATCGATATCTATCGACTTATTCAAGTCTTGTATAACCTCTCTTAGCCTTTTTCAGCCAATACAGGGTATGCACACAAAATAGTAATAATAACAGATATTTGTACTTACGTTATCCAAGTGTATCTCCAGCGGCGAGGATATGCTCGGCTTGCCCAGATACCAGTCGACACTGGGACTATATTCATCCAGCAGCTTCACCAAACGGGGCACATTGACATAGTTGTCATCGTCGAAGTGACAGAACCATCTGGTTGGGAACAGAAAAAAAATCAGTTTGTTATAAAAATTCAAGACGAGCAAACAACACATCTGATACAAATATATATAGATTTCCTCCAAAGTATTTACAAATATCTTATTTTACTGTTTGTTAATTGAACATCCGAAAATGGAGCTGACGCTGGAGCAATTGGCACGCATCGCGCTGGGCGTGCCGGAAATGAATCATGTGAATGTGGCCGTGCTGCACAGCCTGCTGGATGCGCTGATGAAGAAGCTGGCCTGCCAGCAGGATCTGGTCACAATTGGGGGCTTTGAGGGCAAGTGCTTGGAGCGTTTGCTGGAGCGCTCAAAAATCTCGCCGCTGCCCTTCGATGTGGCCACAATTGTGCCCATCTCAACGGAGCTGGACAAGGTGGAGGCCATGGAGGGGCGTCTGGCCACGCTCGAAAAGAAAATGAATGCGCATTTCCAGCAGATACGCGTCTGCAACAAGGTCAACTCGAAGAAGTATCACAAACAGTTGTGGGAACAGTATGCATCGCCCTGCGAGGATCTGTGCACCGTTTGCGATGAGGACAACAAGATTGCGTGCAGCCTGCTCCAGAATATGGACTTCATGAAGAAGCTGCTGCGACGCATCGCCTCGCCCATGATCGATATGGTGGATCAAATTCAAAAGGATCTTAATAAATTCTACGAAACTCTGCGGGAGTTTCTGCGCAAAACCGAGGAGCTTTTCGAACGGCTCGAGCTGGTCAAACAGTGCGTCATCGAGATTGAGAATCTGCGCGAACTGGTCAAGGAATACAATCTGACCTTCATTGGCACCATGGAGGAGCTGCAGGACATGCTGGACAGCAAGCTGGACAAAGTGCATATGCCGGCGCTTAAGAAATACATACGCGATCGTTTCGATAATATCGATCAGCGCCTGTCCAAAATCGAGGACAAGGACTCGTGCCCACGTGCCGCCGGCTTCATCAACACGGGCATCCGTTGCATCTCCTGCGGCAATCAGCGCATCGGCGTCGATGTGGGTCCACTCACCATCGGACCCCTGCCCGATGCCACTGCCAGCAAAAAGAGTAACATCAGTCCAGCCAGCTGTCAAAAGACCTTCGTCTATCGCACCTTGGACAAGGAGCCAACGCTGATGGTGCGTGTCCAGAATTTGGATCTGAATGTGATTGCCCAGCGTCTGAATCGCACCAACAACGGCAAGGTATGCAAACTGCCCGAGGCCAATGACACCATCTACGGAGTTCGCAACTCTGTCTTTTCCAGCTAGACACACGCGACACTCGATTGCTTCCCATTCCTCCCCCCCTTACACTATTTACGTTCACTCAAAATCGTTACGTTTAATAAAAGTGCAACTCTTGCGACGACCTGGGACTGTTTTCTCTGTAGGCATAAAAAAAAGCGCACTAATTTAAATTGTAATTACCGGTAGTCGGTTCTTTATCCCCTTCGGCTGTCCACAAACACTGCTGCAGCTGGGGATTAGCCGCGGTGACAAACGATCAACCATATCCGGTAGCCGGCGCGTTCGGCCTAATGATGCCATTAAAATGCAGCCGGGGCTATCGAACGGACGGGTTCCCCTCCAACTCGAACTCGGACAACAAATGGGGTAACATGAATCGGTCATCAGGTTTGCCAACCTTCTGGAGGAATCGACTAAAAGCATTCGAAATTTCCTTTAATAACTCAACTCTGTAACGGGTTTTCGGCCATCAACTTAAGTGATTCGGACTTAAGTAGCTTTCATTGGGCGCTAAGCGAAGGGTGCGAAGCAGTTGAGGGACAGGGATTAACATATATCATAAGTAATGAAGTTTCACAGAGAAATATCTACATATATTTATATTTATATTAGATATATATTTTATTTTCAGCGAACATCTCTAGGCCCTCAGAAGGAATACCTCAATGAATTTGTCTACGGGTAAGATATATCTAAGATATTTAAAACTCTTTGATTGTTTAGCCCACATTTAACTGTGAGTTGAAAGCTCCCTCAATATCTGGTAAATATTTATTTTGGCAATTGTTTTCGTTTCTGGCGCATCTTAAAGCTGCCCAGATTCGACAACATTGATCGCAATTAATTTGCCCAAGTCTCTATAAAATCTGTTGCTATATCTATGAACATTTTGCCAGCGGCATGAGTGGAACTCAAGTCGTGGCTGCCCCACTATAAACTCACCCCCTCTCGCACAGTCTGTCTGGCCATTTGATATGGTGAGGAGTTCATAAGTATTCAATAAAATCGAAGCGTTTGTTGGCGTCTGTTGGGTAATTTAATATAATTTTTATTGCATAAGCTGCGAGGGGGTATGCGAGGGGCGGTGGTAAGGGGTCAGGGCATGGTTTGTGTCTTCACTTTTCTAAGCGCAGAGGCAGCTAAGCTAATCGCAGTTGTGGCATTCATAAATTGCATGTTGTTGCTGTTGTTGCTGCTGCTGCTGCTGCTGCTGTGGCTGCCACATGCGATACCTGTGCGAAACGGCAGCCAAGTTGTTTGTTGTTGTTGTCGTTGCCTCTTTAGTCGCTTCGTGTCGCATAAATATGCGCTTTTAATTTCACTTAATTATGCGTGCCGCAATGTGCGTACACTCTAAGAAAAACTCTGCCCCAAAATCTAGTGTACAACGAATTTGATTTCAAGTAGATTTCAATATGGGCTTGGTTTGAAAATTGAGTAAAACGAATTGAGTAAAACAAATATTTATTACAAGATTTAAAACACTTTAAATAGTCGGAAATACATTTTCTAGCTTTTATATTTCTCTTTAGATCTCATTTTATTCAGTTTGGGTTTAAAGAGATTCTTGAATTAAGAATTTTGTTCTCAGTTTAAGTAACTTATGTTTGTTGAAAAACTCTTGAGTTGATTTTTCTCAGAGTGTAGCCAGCCTCCTAACTGCCTTTGTCACTCCTCCTCTCTCTCCCTCTCTCTCCCTCTCTATCTCTCTCTTTCCCCGCCTTTTCTCGCATTTACCAAATTGAAATCTAGCTGGCATTTTATGTGTTTGCCGTCGTTTAATTAACGCGTTCCTCTCTATGCTTTTTGGCTTCTATTTGGCATTTTATGAAAATGAAAATGTTTTCATTTCGTTTCGGCATATCGAAGCGTTCGATCGTTGCGTTTAGTGGAGTGGGAAGTGTGGAGTGGTATGGCAGAGGGGGAGAGGGGAGGGGGCAGGTTTAAACGATCGCTGCAGCTGGCCAACAAACAACGTTGGTGGCTCAAATGCTGCAGCGTTTTGTTTGTTTGGCTTTTGGGTTTCGTCTGTTTATCTGGCATCGCATTGCAGCAGCAGCTCAAGGACCTGTGCCTTGTATGTGTGTAGAGAGTGTAGAGTGTATGTGTGTGTGTGTGGCCGCGAAAAACGAGACGCAAAACGAGTGCAAAACTTTTTTTTATTTGCTGCTCAAGTTAGTTTATTTTTCATGGCAGTTTTCCAATTACTTGAGCTGCTGCTGATGTTGCTGATGTGGGCTGATTTTGAGAGCAGCAGCTGTTGCCGGGGCGTTGGCGTCGTCGTCGTCGTCGTTGTCGTCTTTTTGGACTGCAGTCAAAATGAGTTTATGTCTGGAGCCATAATAAAAAATGATTGACGGGGCACTTCGCGAGCCGCCAATGCAGGCAGTCTTAATAGATTTCGCATTAAGAGTGAGTCGGACTCGGACTCGGAGTCGGAGTCAGACTGGCTGATCAGTTGGCCCGGCACAGTCTGCGTTAAAAGTATTTTGACAGGCAGCCGAGCAAAGGCGGCGGCGGCGCGCCAGATAAGCGATCGCCCGAAAGAGAGTGCCACAACAAAAATAAATAAAATGAATTAAAATAAGGAAAAGAAAAGGATGACGAACTGATTTCGTTTCGTTGTGTTTTGTTTTCTCTGTTGTCTGGCTTTGCAATTAGCAATAAGTCAGCTGTCAGGCGTCGAATGTATCTTACAGATACATTATTTGCGGATTGATACAAATCAATGTGCCGTGTCAGGGGCTCAACAACAACAAGATATTTACATTAAGCGGGCACTTAAATCAAACAACAACAGCTCAGCTCATTAACAACAACAACAACAACAACAGCAGCAGCAGCAGCAGTTGCTGCAGTTGCATTCGCATTCGCTGTTGCAAGCATGAGTCAGAGATTTATGAGCGCCCGCTGCGCGCCGTGGCCGTTCGGTTTTTATTTTTTGTCTATCTTGCAGATACACAAAAGCGTTTACACGTTTTGCTTTGACACGCTCACTGAACAATTGAAAACAGCGGCGACAATTGAAACGCATTTGTCAGATACGACGACGGCGACTGGCGACTGGCGACGATGTCGCTGGCGTTATGCCTGACAAGGCAATCAGCGGCACAAAATGTATCTTGTAGCTACACGCCTGGCAAATTGACGCCAATTGTCGTGTGGGCGACTCTAATTGAAATGTAGAGCAAGCGATTTGCCGTACAGCAGCAGCAGCAGCAGCAGCAGCAGCAGCAGCAGCAGCAGTAGCAACATTCGCTTTCCGCCGGATGTGCAACTGCAGCGACAACTGTTGCTGCCGCGGCTGCTGCTGCTGCTGCAACTTCATCTGCATATGCAGCCAGCTCGAATTGTGCATTTCCGTAGGATAAAAACTAAAGCAGCAACAACTTCAGATTGCGACAATCCCCCCTCTCTCTCTCTCTTTATATATATATTGGCTCAATTGAATAATTGACTACAGTTTTGTGGCGGTTGTTGTTGCTGTTTGCTGTTTGCTGCCACAAGTGGCAAATAAATGAAATTGATGCGTTGGGCCGTCCGCTGCATACTTTCCCTTCAACTGTTGCTGCTGTCGTCGCTTCACACGCGGCCTGCCCCTGCCACTGTGGCTGCGAAAAGGAAAAATTTTCTCACAGCAACAACATCTGGTTTTTCACATATGCGACAAAAATGCTTATGATGAGGTTTTCCAAGCCGCAAAGAAAAGTATATTGCAATGCCATAGAGCGCAGCAGCAGCAACAACAACAACAACAACAACAGCAATTAAAATTGTCGCAGCGCTGACTTCAGCTGAGTCTCAGATGGATTGGTGCAGTGTGTCTGTGTGTGTGTGTGTGTGTGTGGTGTGCATAATATTGTGTCTGTTGCTGTTGGAAAATGCCGCAACTTCCCTGTTCACTCAGTGCCCCCTCTTTTTCCCCGCCTCTTGGACTATTATTTTATGTGGGATTAGCTGCGGGTTGATTGCAACGGGAAGAGAGAAAAAAAAGAAAATAAAAGGGGGCAAGCAACAGTGTGGCACGTCTGGGAAATAACATTGATGGGGCGCACAAAGAGACGTCAACGCAACGTGCAACAAATTCCCACGCACTTTCTTGGCAGCGACAGCAACAACTGTAGCAACAGCAGCACCCACCCAAAAGTTGCAGGCAACAATCGTTAAATGTATATGCAACAACAGCAACAATCAGTTGCTGTTGCCCTTTTGTTGTGAATCCTGTTTTTTTTTTTGTGTACTTTCCTTTGGCTCCATTTGGCAGTTGATGCCGTGAATATTACGCATAATACGTGTCGTAATTACAAGAGGGCAGGCCGACAACAACAACAACAACATCAACAAAAAAAAAGGTAAAGAAATGCCGTTATAATGTCCAATAAATGTTGATTACGAAACGTGCCACAACCAGCTGCACCAGTTACACAGATACAAAAGCACAGCTACAGATACAAATGCACGGATACAGATACATTCGACAAGCCGCGTCATGGCAAGGGCATGCGCCCGTTTCGCAATTCAACTAAAAGATACATTCGCACAATGTACGCTCAGTCGAACGCGACATTTGTTTATTAGGTGTGGCCAGCCACACACGGCACGATCAGGCTAAGCCCAAACACACCCAAGACTAAAACACACACACACGCACACACACTCGCACACGCTCGCACAGCAAGAGATAAATTAGAACTTGAAACAAATGAATCGAAATCTAAAAAGTTGAAAGCAGCAACAAAAACAAGAAAACAATTTAAAGCGTGGAATTTGTTGCCGCTTAATACAAAAACAAGGCTGTCATAGTAAAAGATTGAACGACTAGTCGATACCCTGGAATGCCGAAATACTAGAATACTTGTTCGTAAAGGCTAAAAAGCAAACTTGACAAGTAGATACCCTGCTTACAGCTGGCATACTTGTTCGTAATGTCTAAAAGATAAACTAGACTTGAAAATACCCTGTTAACAGCTGGCATAAATATTCGTAAAGACAAACTAGACTCTATGCCACACTTTATTCTTCTTCCTTGGTAAATGATCTCTCAAAAGAAACCTCCAAACAAAAGTAGTTTTCTCTGGTTCTAATAATCTTTGAGATTCGCTACAAAAACGTATATCGGCAATCGATATTTAGCGATTGTTGAGAAAATGGAGGGATATTATCAAACATAATCTGCGTATGATTTAAGAGAACTTTTAACATTAAATTTAAAAGGCTCTGCGATCTAACAGACAGACAGAAGTGGGCATGGCCAAATAAACTCAGTTATTGATCTCGATCAAGTATATATATGCCTTATAGAGCCAAAACCTGCCTTTCACGAACTGGCACATACATCAGCACAGCTTCATTAAACCCTATTTAAGCCATTTGGTATGGGTATAGGGCATATAAAAATCGAATTTATAATAAATCCAAATGTCGCAAGAGGTGCAGAGGCGGAGCCGACACCTTATTGGCGCCTCAACATTTGTGTGTGCTTGTGTGCGTTTGTGTGTGTGTTATAGAAATTCCATTAAGCTGGCGATGTTGAGCTGTGGGAAGAGGGAAGAAGGGCTAGCGTAACATTTCAAATGGAGGCTGATTGACGTGCCAGGTCGAGCGGTCAGTTTATGACTGTGACTTGCAGTTGTTGTTGCTGTTGTTGCTGCTGTTGTTACAATTGTTGCTGCTGTAGTTGTTGTTGTTGCTGTTGTAATTTTAATTAAATTGCACTAATTGCTCGGCTTTATAATAGACACTCGCCGCGTACTGCAATTAGCCAGTCAGCAGCAAGCAAAAGGCGTCGCTCGTCTTGAGCTGCCGGCAACAAGTTGCTGTTGTGCGGACCATGGCAACTTTTGCATTGAATATAATTAAAAGAAAGAGATAAAAGAGAAACACGTTCATTCGAACTGCTCTGCTTGATTTGCATTTAATAGAACGGACATCCCGCTGCTGCGACTCAATTTTAGCAGCAAAAGCAGCAGCAACAGCAACAACAGCAACATGTTGCTGCTGTGCGTAGCAATGGGTCATAAAAGCGCAGCAGCAGGCAACAGAGCGCCATAATTGCCAGTTTCAGTGCACGTTAATTAACCTCTTTCCATATTTTGCCAGGCATTGTTGTTGCTGTTGCTGCTGCTGGGGGTTGCTGTTGCTGCTGTTGCTGTTGCTGCTGTTTGGGCTTTGCACTTATTCCACAGCAAAATGTAAGCGTTGCCAATCAACGGCCACAGGAAACTGGCTGCGCCCGGCTGTGCCACCTGATACCATTTCATATTGCCTGCAAACAGCCGCAGCAGCAGCAGCAACAACAACAACAGCAACTCCTGCTGCAACGACAACAACAACAACAGCAACTGTTGCTGCTGCAGCCGCCGCCTCATCTTGATCATAACTGCACATTTAGCCTGCTTGCCATTTATTTTGTTTTATTTTTTTATGGACCTGCTGCAAGTTGCTGGCAACAATTTGTTGCCGCTGCTGTGACTTGTTGTTGGCAGCAACTGCTGCTGTTGTTGTTGTTGTTGCTGCTGCTGCTGCTGCTGCCGCATTGATTGCATGCTCAGTGCTTTTATAATGACAGTTTCAAGTTCTAAGCCAAAACGGAGCAGTCCCAGGCGAAGCAAGAGAGAGAGAGAGAGAGAGTGCAGAGTGCAATAGCAACAGCAGCAACAACAGCAGCAACAACAGCAACAGTAACCACAACAGCAACATCCTACTCAACGCTCTTCATATTAAGTCGAGGCATGTCCGAGTTGTTCTAGATTTGCTGCCTGCAATACAACAATTTGTTGTTGTTGTTGTTGTTGCTGCTGCTGTTGCTGCCAGTGTAATTACAAACGAGCTGAAGAATTTCTAGGCAGCTCCTTTGGGCGCTAGTTGCAGCAATTGAAGTGTCTTTTTAGCTTCAGCTTTTAGTTTGTTTTTTTCTTGTGGTTTCTTCTTCGTTTTCTTTTTTCTTTTTTGCTGGACAAGTTTTGAGTAGCTGCAACAGCAAGAACAACAAGAGCAACTGCTGCCGCTGCTGCGTCTTAATTGCGCAAATTAGAACGCATCGCAGCTGCAATCGAGGTCCAAACTGGGTGTTTGCTACGCTTTTATGGCCCAACTCGGATGGGTTTGCTGCCATGGATAGATTGCTGCTGCTGCTGCTGCTGCTGCGGTTGCTTATTAAAAGCATTAAAATCTACAATTACAATAGCAACAGTCGCAGCAGCAGCAGCAGCAGCAATGGAAGTCATTGCACTGGTCAATGCACGCGCAGAGATGGAATTTTTGGTCATAAGGCTGGCTAAATATGACAAGGGGGCATGGCCAAAGAGCGCAAAGTTAATGCGCATAATGCTGCATGAAATTGAAATTGAAATTGAAAAGCATATGTACGCACAAGAAGATAGCAGTGCAGAAGCCTTGGCAACATATTCCAGATGGGGGATATATATTATTTTTGCCAAGCAAAGAAATATTTATAAAACGAAGAAGCATTTGAGACATCAAGCCAAATAAACAATATAAGCAAATGTTTAGTTAAGCCCAACTGTGCCTAGCTGAGTTAAATGATTAGTTTATCGCTTGAAATTAACAACTAAACTTAAAATGTTGAATATAGTTTTTGCATTTACTTACTTTTTGCCGCTCTCGAGGAAGATATCCAGCTCCGCGGACATTTTGCAGCACAGAGCCTTGCGAAAATGGCCCTGCGAACATTTCGTATTTATAAGATGGCCCTCTGTAAGAGAAAAAGAGACGGAGAGAGAGAGAGTGTGTGTGAGTAAGTGGGGGCAAAAGAGAATTTGCTAAAGATTGGTAATTAAGCAAAATAACAACGCGCCAACAAGCCACACATGTCAGGGGAGGGAAGTGAAGCCGGCAGCCACGTTCTATGTTAATTAACTAAAAGGCCGAAAGCTCATATCAAAGTCCACCCGAAAAAAAAAGAAAGAAAGACGAAAAAAAAAAGGAAAACAGTAGCTTGTTAGTCGAGAATGCCGCTCATATCCAGCGGATGCGTTTTGTAGCTCGTTTGACAGACGCCGCCGATAAAGCGAGACATGAGACATCGCAGGGAGAGGGGGCGCAGGCAGTGACGTAGTAGTAGTGGCAATGCAGAGAGGGCGGTGGGGAGGGGGTCGAAAGGGGTACAAATAAAAAGCAAAGCAGCGCAAAAACTTGTGCGCGCCTTAATTGGATGAAAATTGTTGAAATATTTAAAGCACACACAAGCACAAAGGTTGGCGAGGGGCGCACAACAAGCTATACCAAGAAGAAGCTGAAGAGGCTGAAGAAGAAGAAGAAGCACCAGCAGCAGAACAACAACAACAAGAGGAAGCACACATAACTCAAAAAGCGCTCTCGATGCGTGTTTAGCAAAAATCCTTTTTGGCTCTAATCAAAATGCCTCCGAACCCAGCTTCAGTCCGAGAGGCTGTGAAACTTGAGATCCCATGTCTCGAGAGAGAGAGAGAGAGAGAGAGAGAGGGAGAGTGGGAGAGAGAGAGAGAGAGAGAGGCGGAGACTAGGGGTATGCAAAAATGAAATACATTTTGTTTGTTGAATTTCTTTTCTTTGCAGCAAAATTGAAATTTGAACTTTTTTTTTTTAGTTTTATTTTTTAATTAAAACTCTCGAAACTTGATGTGCAGCTGCACGCAAAATCGAAGCACGAAAAGGCTGCAATTCAATTAAAATGCGGGTGAGCTGCGCAGGTAACACACACGAACACACACACACACACACTCACACACACACAGCCTAAGCTTATAAACTTTAATCGGTTTTGTTTTCTCGGCAGACAGTGGCCAAGATTAGGCGTTCGCCGGGGCGTGGCCGCGTCGCTGATGTGAAACCAAATTGAGGCCAGAACGAGGACAGACACACGGACATGACCAAAAAGTACAACAACAACAAAAAAAAACAAAAGAAAAGGGTAAGAGGTCGACAGGTAGGCTAACTCCTCTGGCCGTGATAAATATGTTTTAAGGAAATACAATTTTGTTTTTGTTTTTTTTTTTTCGTGGGGTACGCTGAACGAATTGAAAATCGAATCGAAATGCTAATCGAAATTTTTCGCTGCCAATGCAAAATTTAACTTATGATCTTTTATTTCCTTTTTAAACTTTTATACATAAATATATATATATATATATATATATATAGCATACTCACTTGTCTTCTCCTGATAATAATGATCGTCCGTGTCTGTAAAGAACCAGGTCTGAAAAGATAAAATGATATAGAATATAAAATGTTGTCATCAAATGTTGTAAATAGCGCAAAAGATGAGATCGTAAGATGGAAAAAAATCTCTTTCTAGAGCTAGCAGAAGTTTTAATACCCTACCACAAAAAAAAAAAACGGAATATTTGGAAATTGGATATATATGAGGGAGGGCTTCGATTATAGTGAGATACATTGCTCAAACAAAAGCTCTTAGTTGGAAACAAAGTTTCCCTTATCGCATGATGATATAGTTTCCCGGTCTTGGCAACTTTTGTATATTAACTGCCTGCCAGAATTAGATATATCTATGCCCTTTGACATCAAACATCAAACATCAAGAACTGAGAACAGATATAGGGCTTTATCGACTTTGCCCCTTGGAACTGATCAAGTATATATGCCCTTTTAGGTTTTCAGCAATGTCTGCATATTTGCATATTTTACAAACTAATCACAGGGCGAGTCATGGGAACACAGATCAGTTCTCTATATATATTTAGGTTCCAAACACTAATCTACATATAATTATGCCAGCGTCTGCGGTTGGCCCTATATTCTTACAAGACGCGCGGAGACAATCAGATAAGAAAAAAATAAAATTCCCACACGCTCGCTGAAAGCAACTGGGGAAAAAAGCTGACTAGAAAAAGGGTGGCAACTGGGAAGAAACTATAAAGAAACAACTGAAGCAAGAAGAAGACGCGCACACAAGTTCATGAAATCAGTCTAGAGTTTGGGTATAAATTGTGGTTGTTGGTGTTGTTGTAATTGCTGCTGGTTGTTTTGCTTTATGCTTGGCTGCCTGGTCTAGGGGTTCCATTTGTTTCTCACTTGACACGATTCCACTCAGAAACTTTTCGTTGATATGCTCAGAGCAACGCTTAAGTAATTTTTGGTTCCAAGCAGGCAGTGGGAATTGCTCTCCCTTACACGAGAGCAGCCTCTTCCTTCTTGTCATATTCGATAAACCTAATTGCCCAAATGACAGACGGAAAAAAGTTCCTGCGGCTATTTGAAAGTCGGCATCCCCGCACGCTGTCCCCTCTGTGTCTGGCTGTGTCGTCGTCTACAACTCAATTGGTTTTGCCTTTAATAACTATTTCTTCGCCTGTGTCAAATCAGGCGAAAATCGTTTTAAACCATTGACAACAACACGAAGCACAACAGCAACATGTTTGTTGTTGTTGTTGTTGCTGTTGCCGCATGTTGCTGTCGTCGCAACAGCAACAACAACAACAACAGAAACAAACACAATACTCCCGCTGCACAAGCATTTGAACAACTCGACTCTTTAAACAGTTAGAAAGTCAACGTTGCCAACGTTCAAGTTGCCGTCTTTGCTGTTGTTGTTGCTGCTGTTGTTGTCGCAGTCGAGTCGAGTTGAGTCGAGTCGAGTCGAGTTCTTTATGGCACACAACAACAACAACAACAACTGGCGCAGCAGCAACTGCTGCAGCTGAAAACTTTTCGCTGTCGTCTGTTGAATTTTCATGGATTTTTACGGGATTTTATTTGTGCTCTCTCTCTCTCTCTCTCTCTCACTTTTGGCACTTTTCATTTTTGGCTGCTGCGGGGCGAAAATTGTTAACACCATGTTGCAGCTAGATATTGTTGTTGGAGTAGTTGTTGTTGCTGCTGTTGCTGCTGCAGCAGCAGTAGTTGCACTCGCACTTGACTAGCATTTAATTTATGTGACTGTTAAAACTGTTGACAAACAACATTACAACATGTGGCAAATTTATGTGGCAAGTTGAGCGCTCTGATGCAACTGTCACATAAATAAGCATAGGCAGGCAGTGTCTGAGCGCTGACTGAGGACGATTTGGATTTTGGCTATTCGGTATTTGGCCCAGTTAATTGCTGCTGCCACTAACGAGCCGCGGCTGTGGGTGTAGCTACACACACACACACACTCACACACGCACACACACACACTCACACGGATACACAGACGTTGCCCCACCCAGCGCCAACCCACTCGTAAATCACAGAAATGAGCAGCAGCCAATGGAACTCTGCGTAATTACCTAGCCTCGAGCAGCTTCATAATTGTCAACTTGATATAAATAAGAAAGCTATCAATGTGCCAGAGCACGACTAGAAGTTACCCTGTAGAAAAGTTATATACTTGCTTTACAATATTTAATATTCCTCTGTGTAATATTTAAAAATCAAACTTTCATTTAAAATTATATATATTATTATTTATATTTATATTTATTAATTAAGCTTTTCCTGTTTATTAATCAATTTCTATAACAATTTTCAGTTTTTATGGATTTCATCTAAGATGAAATGTGTACCAGATTTTACTTCTTCAAAACTGTGGCAATAATTAGTTGTGGGTAAGTGAGGAGCATATATTATTTTTCAAATCTGGCATTATATACAACACATATCATATTTCGCTGACTCTAGCTCTTAAAGCATCCGAGTTCTTTCAGATGGAAAAAAGAACGTGACTTTATTTATTAAAGTATTTAGTTGATGACAGTTTTCGATCAAGGAATTAATCTTAGATCTTACCCACTTAAGGCATTTACAGGGTATTTAAACGATTAAATATTGACAGTGCAAGAAATATTAATCAATTTGTTGGGAGTGGCAATTGCCTAGGGTTAGAATTACATATGCACATAGGTGCATCATGCCCAATTAAAGTATTCGAGCTGTTACAGGGTATATATAATGTGCGAATATTTCAAGGCCAAAATGTATTTATAAGCTGAATGCGAACGAAAATATTTCTAAAAAAAAATGATTACACAAATACACATACGCGTACCATATCCACTAAAAGCATTTGTAGCCTTACAGGGTATAAAACGTTTGAATATTTCAAGTGCATAGCAAGAGATTTAACGAGAGGGAAGGGGAAGGGCAGTGAGAGTCCATAAATTTGCCAACATATTTCGCTTGGGTCAGCATTAAATGCAAAACAAATTTATCATGAAAGCTGCAGCTGTGACTGGGTCCACGGTTTGCGTTGTTTGTTTGTTGTCGTTGTTGTTGTCGTTGTTGTTATTGTTCGCTTACGGATTTGAATTCTGATTCGGATTTGGGGAGTTTTGCGCGAGTTGCACGTTGCAAGTTTGCGGCCAAAGTTGCGGCGCGGCATGCATTCAATTGGAACGAAGCGATTGCCACAACAATTCGTTATGTTTTCGGCGCCCAAAGAGAGCAGGCGAAACAGGCACACACAGGCACAGCTGGCCAAGAGCAGTCAACAGTTAACTGACTGTCGCCGGCATAGACCAGCAACAGCAACAGCAACAACAACGAGAACAACAACAACAACGAGAACAACCACAACAACAACAATGCATTTTCAATGGCGTCTCTAACTGCAGCTGCAGGCAAAAGGCGGCGGCGGCGGCGGCAACTGCGGCCCAAACAACTATTTGTGTGCCCAAGCATTGCAGCATTTTGGCGGTTTGTGTTGCCTCGCCTTGCCATGACACCCTCCCCTCCCCCCTTCCTCTAGCTGGAGTTGCACAGCACGTGGGGTGCGGTCGCTCGCCGGCAGCTCCTCGAGCGCTGAGGCTGCGGTCGGGCGGCCTTTCCATATGCGTCCGAAGTGTCTGCTTTCTGTATCTGTATCTACGGACTGGTCTGTGCATGGGCCAAATAATATTATTAACTATGATGGAGGGCGTGTGCCTTGACTGGACATGCTTTCCAATTTTGGCCAAGTGAAAGTCGAATTTACTCTCAAAGCTAATCAAATCCAATTATTAAGCGTGGTTAAAATAAATCATAAGCAAATTAGATGTTGAAGAAAAACAAATTATAAATAAAAAAGGGGCGCGTTTTTTTTTGCATTTGATGTCAATAATTGTTGATTGTTGTTCCAAGTTTTAAATAAATTCTGATAACTGAAAAAAAAATTGGGAAAAATCAAAAAAACAACTGCATATTTCCGCCTAGTACAAATCGCCTGCCTGAATAACCCGATCTAAAAATATATTTTACAATGCAAAAGTTTTGTTTAGAAGAATCCTAACAAATATTACCAAGAAAATGCGAAAATATAACGAATAAATTAAATGTAGATGTAGGAAAAACCTTAAAAGAGAAGTTCACACTCATGAGAATCTATGAATCTATGCCGAGTAATTAAGTTCTTGAAAGTTCTCTTTAACTCTGGCAACACTCAGAAATTAATAATTGTTCAGCCCAAAAATGATTGTCAGTCAACTTTAATGTTGTAATTTTTTTTTGTTGATATTGAAATTTCGACTTGATCGAAGCAGCCTCAAAAAAAAAAAAAGGTAAACAAATTGAGGGCGTGGCTCAATTTGCGTAATCGCAGTTCGGCTATTTTGAAGTCAGGCAGCCAGAAAACCACAAAAGGTTCACATTTTAATTATAGGCTGTCTTGGGCCTTTCCCCCCCACCTGCCCTGCCCCTCTGCTCCCTTGAGAAGCTAACGCAGGCAACAACAAACGTTTCGGGGCGTGCGTCAAATGTTGAGTTACTTTTGGGTTAATGAGGCGTCGTTGGGCAAAGGAGCTCAAAATGTATCAATTAGCTGATTTGTATTTGATTGGTGGCTCCGTCAAGACGTTGAGAAAGAGACGGACATAGTGTGCGTATCTATAAGATATATAAAGATACTACATCATCATCAACAGCTAAAGATACATTCGTATCTGAAGCTGAAGAAAATAATTAAATTCTCCGTTCGTTACTGTTGCTTGTTTCTTCCTCTTCCTCTTCATCTTTTGCATTGTAATTGAGCGCATATTAAATGGACAATAATTGGCTTAAAAGCGTACGCTGCTTATTTGCAGGCAAACGGCATATAAAATGATGCAAAAATGTGCCCAAGCGTGCACATTAAAAAGGAAGTTCCATGCGGGCCCAGGGCCGTGGGGTGGGCGTGGCAGCATACACAACACAAAAAATTGTGTCGTTTGTGCGCACAACAAACAACAATGGAAAATATTTCAATTTATTGCGAATTAAATTAAATTGAAGCGCATTGAAAAGACCGCCAAAAAAAACGAAATACGAAAACCCCAAAGTGAACGCAATCAAAAGCGACGGCACGGGCTGAGAGAGAGCGAAAGAGAGAGAGGGAGAGTTTGTGAGTGTGTGTGTGTGTGTGTATGAGTGTGTGTATGAGTGTGTGTGCGTTGGCGGCACACTTTGGACGTGCTGTCAATTGAGCTTTAATTGCCATGCGGCTCATCGCGCATACGCCGCATGATCCCCAAGCAAATGAGCAAAGGGGGAGAGAGAGAGAGAGAGGGGGCTGCTCGCGTATGACAACTGTCATTTGCTCTGTTCATATTTATGAGCTGCTGACAACTTAAAGCCTAAGCAAAACTGGCCACAACTGCAACTAGAACCCGGCTGCAGTCGCAGAATCGTGCAACAGTTGCAGCCAGAGCTGAAGCTCTCGCTGAGCCTGTCAACTTGCCGCAAAGTGACTCAGCGCTGTCTGCTTGACAGCCAACGGGCGTGCTGTGGAGCGTGCGGCGGGGAGCGGGGGTATGGCAACTGGCGAAGGCTACGCAGCCGGCTTAGCCAAGTTAATGAGAAAAGGAGCCGAGGCTTAAAGCAGTCAAACGCGCTGGACATGACGCATTGCGAGTACAAAGCGCAAATAGGCCAAGACAGAGCGAAAAACAAGTAGAAGCAATGCAGTCGAGCATAACCGACTAAACAATACGCTGCTCGCAGTGTGACAAACAGCGCTAATTAAAAATTAAAACTTATTTGGATATTTGTGTAATGAAGACTTGATAGGTGATACTCAAACTGTGGGCGGTCTAGGCAACTAAGTGGGCGTGGCTGGCAATTAATAGGATAGACTGCAAGACAAACCTTGCAACCAAAAAGCCATACAACCGTTTTTACTTTGCGAACGGGGTATAAAGTCGAGAGGGGCTTAGCCACAGCGCTTGTCCAGTGAAAATTTAACGACATTTGTGCTTCTTGTGGCCAATAAAATGTGAGCCGACACACACACACACACACACACAAGCACAGCACATAAAGCATTAAAAAAAAAGTGACTTGGTACAAGGCGAGCAAATGTTTTCCGGGAAGACATTTTAACAATTGCTGCTGCTGTTGCTGCTGCCACTGACAAGCGCTCAATAAGTGCCACACGGTGCATCATTAAAAACTAAAAAGCAGAAAGACAAAAAACAGAAACAGCAACTGCAGCAACTGACAATTGAACCACCCACTCTCGCCGGGCCAGTGTCAACCTGTGTCTGCGATTTATCTGCATAAAGTCCGAAGAGAGTTTCCCTCGACATTTGACATGCGTTCTGTGTTGTGGGGCAGCAGCAGCAACAAATGTGACAGGCAGCAGGCAACTTGGCCAAAAGCAAATCAGATGCTAACTAAGCGAACTGCCAGACAGGCTGACAAACCTGCCAGACAACTGCCACACACACTCGCACACACGGTAGCCAAATGCTGCTGCATTGTCGCGAATTTTCCGCTTTTGCATATTTGGCGAAAAGCGTTCAATCAAAGTCGAACCGTTGCGGCGGCAACTGTCAGTAATTTATGCTCATTTGTTTGTTGCATGAATAATTTGAATGCCACTTGAGCATTTCTCAACACTGGCAACTGCATACGAAATTGTCTATCGACCAGCAAAACAACAAGATTGAACTAACAGCAATTTTTGTGTGAAAGATCAACTTGAGTTTATGTAAGCCATATGGAAACTTGAATGCTCTGCCAAGGCAAGTCTAGGGTATACTAAGCTGATCAGGAATTAAAGAAGAATCTTAAGCAGATCTGTTGCACTCATTCTCAGTTCTATCTATGATAACTTAATTATTGTCTATAATAACTTAATATACTAACTGTCTAAGTTATGAGAGCAGATCTAGCCTGCCTTGAATGGCGGCAAGAGTTACGATAACTTTCGAATACCCTGCAGGCAGCCAAAGAAGCGGGTATGCATATCCCCAAGCAATATTCTCAGGGTCAAAAGGAATACTAATAGAAAAGTCCCAAATTTGGCAGGAATATTTAAAACTTAAATATGTTGCAAAGTTCAAGATCAAAGCCTCATAAATTCTATTCGAGTTAGTCATGAGTAAGGTATAGAGTTTTTTCTTCGAGTGTATGATTCTATTGATCTTCATTCTATGGATCTGTTGCCGTTGTTACATATTGAGTTAAAAAGCTATTATAGTCTCCTCATCTTCTTCTTTCACTTCCTCTCATGTCTGATCTATAGGAAAAACTGACCAATGCACCCAAGCTAAGAGCTGGCTGTGTTGAGCTGAGCTGAAGACTCGTTGCTGTTGCCATTGGCCTTTTTAGGCGAGCAGCGGGCAGGGGGAGGCAACGAAGTGGAATCAAGCTGAAAGCTGTGCACCAAGAGGCACATTAATCAAGCGTTTATAATGTGCAACAGAGGCAGCAACATGGGGCAACCAACAAATAGTTTTCAAATGCAGCACAAACCAATCAAATTGAACGCATTTTCTAGATGTTGTTGCTGCTGTTGTTGCTGTTGCCTGTCGCTGCTCCACATTGCTGTTGGTCGCATCAAAATAATTGGCTGCCTGCAGCAGCAGCAGCAACAACTTGAAGCAAATCAAACTTGCGAGCCAATTGTTGCATGTAGCCAGCTGTCAGTGGGGCATGTTGCTGCTGTACTGGCAACAGTTGCTGCGAATTGCTGCTGACCAGTTCAGGCCAAATGCTGCTGCCAGCTCCTTTAATAGTGTGAAAACTACAACTCGATATGGCAGCTAAAATTGTCTAGGCACTTAAAAGGCCGCTCCAACCCTCCTCAACCCACTGTTGCAATCCCCCCCAAAACCCCTTTCCCTGCCACTCACGACAATCTCCAATCAAAATAAACACTGACTGCAGCTCGTTGCACGTCTGCCCCGAACCGTTGCAGCATTGCAGCCAAAGCCTGAAACGTGCCTGTCGGGCATTTCAACAATTTTGAATAGTTAAAACACACTCGCACACACACACACGCACACACGCACACACACACACATGTGCGGCGACTTATTTATTTATGTGGCTTTTTTGTTTTTTTTTATTTTATTTTTTTTTTGGTACTTTGCCTGCAGTTCCCTGTAAACAATAACAAAACACATTTGTGACGCGTGATTTTGCATAAGTTGGCACAAAAAAAGTCAGCGAAACGAAGCGACAAAAGCAACACAACAACACACACAGCACACACACACACACAGAGATGTTTACATATATATACACTCAATTTTCAATCGTTCTTATTCGAGCTATATGATATATAGATATTTGAGCTAGATTAATATAGTGCTGGAATGTTGATAAGTTTGATCGGGATATATTAAATAATAAAGCTTTGTATACAACAACAGTTTTATACAATCAATCTATCCTATGTCAGCTAAATGATATTACCTTCATTTAGATCGACTATATAATAGCGACAATATAATAGCCAGTTTCTATATCATCTAGGATTATAGAGGGTCAATCGTACGAAGAATAGTTTGTGCGACTTTAGTTGCACATCTGATTTATTAGCAAACGAGTCTTTATACAATTCTGACGACAACTATCTCGTAGCTAGGGTCTGATACAGTTCCGATATCGATATTGATATTTTATCAAGTCAACGGAACTGCCACAAGGTGGTGTCTATATAGATTCATTTTTAAATTATTCCGATTAGTCTTATTTTAAGATATAAGAGATTGCGCTAATTAATAGCTTGCTTATAAAAGATTCCATTTAAATGTTTAGTTACAAGTCTTAAAGCAGTTTATGTTTCGTATAATACCGATACTTTATCTTCTCAATCGATATTATATCGCTTGCCGGGACTTGAGCTCGAATATGCCATGAGTTCTCTTAGTCAATCGGGTTTAACTAAACTAACTCCAGCTTTAGCTTTTCTTCAGCTGAATTATCTTTTTTTAGTTGCCTTTGACCTTTTCTTACACATCTGCTTAAGCGCTTAACCTCCCTACTTATGCTACTCGCTACAGGGTATCAAAACCCATTATAATCATCAACATTATTTAGTTAAGCTCGTTTATTTGCAAGTTTTTTTGTGTTTTTGTTGTTTTTTGGCTTATGAAGACATTTTTATAGCCAATTAAGCGGCGGCCACAAAATCATAAATCGTAAAAAGCGAATTCAATTCAAACAGCTTAAAAACTCATTATGCAAATGCGCCAAGCCCAAAAAAAATATACACAGAGTATAAATAAAATTAAGAAAAAAACAATTCGAATCGCAGTCGAAACCAATCGCCGGACAACTTAGATCTCAATCGGATCGAGACATTTTGGTTTCCTTTTTTTTCTTCTCATTTGCCAATTGTCGCCCACGCTGTGCTGGCAAATTGCTCGAACTAACTAATCGACCTGTCGCATCTGGCTAATTGCGGGGTAACTTTTGGGGTTTTGACCTCACCTGATCGCGCGCCAATTGGAACCACGTCTTGATGATCAGCGCCAGTCGCGTATCGTGATAGTTCTTCGTCGTCTTCACACTGATGAAAATGTCATCCAGCTCCGTTGTCGGCGGCTGCGGCGTCGCTGTCACCGCGCGCTGCGACAGATCGTGGAGCAGTTCACCGTTCCGGCTGCGTCGGGCTAGGTCTGTTAGCAGCGTGGCGTCGGGTCTTTCGCTGACCTCAATATCACTGAAATTGAAGCTATGTATGTCCTTGCGTATGATCAGCGAAGGCGTTATGGGCGTGGCCACAGCAGCAGCAACGGGCGAGGAAGCAGGCGGCAAAGAGGAGGCGGCAGCAGCCACAGACTGTGTGGGTGGCAGCGAGTGGAGCAGCTGCTGCTGCTGTTGTGTGGTCGTCGTTGCGGCAGGTTCATTGCCATCCAGCTGCGACTGCGGCTGCAGCTGTAATGGGAAAGAGAGGGAAGAGGGGTTAGTTGGGGGCTAAAATTTGTTGTGTAAATCGCGCGCAATAAAAATGAAGTGGAGAGCTGCTGCAGGCATTTTCACCTGGCAAACAAAGGCGAACTTCAATGGTAAACAACAATGGCAAACAAATGAGCGACGGCACAACAAACAACAACAACAACAACAAGCAGAAGAAGCAGAAGCAATCACAGCGCCATAAAAATGCTGAGTAAGAGCAAACAAAACCAAACAAACGGGCAACATGATAGAAGAAGAAAAAAAAATATAAAGATCGCCCAGACTTGAAATCCAAGCTTCAGTCTGTGCCCCTTTTGCCAACAGCCCCTGTCCGTGTCCCCGCCCCTAACTGCGCCTCTGGCCCTCTTGATTAATTTCGACTGATAACAGGTTCATTTTCTTTTGTTATGCGGCAATTCTTCAGCTGCTTTTAATGGAGCTGCTCTCTGGCATCCCTCTCTCTAACAACCTCTTGTAGTTTGGAAAATTTGGAATCTGATTTGAGTTTGATTGAAGTGAGCTGATAAAAGGCCTTTCAAGCCGCTGCCTGAAGTGTGGGGTCGAATGAGGCGCGAAGTGTGGGGGAGTGAGGGGGTGAGGAAATGGTGCCAAGTGTTAATTTGGTCGAACTTTTCCGCTATGCAAATCAACGCGCACAGCAGGCACTTCCGCTGCTCCTCTTGACCTTAACAAAAGCTAACCTACACATTTGTAAAGACTTCAAATACCCTGTATTTGTTATAAGTGTCTCAATAGGGTTGTATTGGCGCATCTAAGCTCTAGAAACTATTAGAGAAACTTTTAATCACATACATATTCAACATAATTGCCTGAAACCCAGATAAATGTTAATTCCAATTGCTTTTTTCTCTGATGTTTGTTTTACATAAAAATATCTAGAAATCTTTGAACATAGTATACAGGTGCTTTTTGTATACTTCTCTCACTCGACCAAAATTCAAAAACAAACCCATTGTTAGCCTTTTATGATATGTCGTATATTGTTATATGGTACATGGTTATATTTATATATATATAGTTATATGGTTAATCGTTATTTTTCCACGCGGAGATACGTCCTTTGAAGAGGATATAATTTCGACTTATGTCTTTTGTATAACAGCCGAGTTATCTCATAAGAAATACGAATCTGCGTTTTACAGAGTATCTTCTAGTCTGTCACTCTCTCGCCCTTTTTCCCTCTCTCTCTCTCTCTCTTACTCCCTCTTACAGTTATAGCTCTGTTATAGCTCATTCACTGGATCTGAAAATGGAAACATTTCTACTTTAAGCGCTGCCTGCCCCCTCTACAGCCCCACTCTATCCCCCCCCCCCCTTCACCACTCCTCTCTGCGCTCATCCACTTGTCTTTTTATTACATGGTAAACGGGTCTTCAGCAACTGCTGCTGCTGCTTCACACGATATTGTCTGCTTGATAGAGCTAAAGACTTGGCTCATACATTTTTATTGCGGCACGATCGAAAAACGGTGTTCAATATAATGGGCCAACTATCTGATAGCAGGCAGACACACACAGAGCGACGAGTGGAGGGGGGGGGTAGGCGAAGAAAACTCTCAGAAAAAGCAGAAGTTGAGCTGATGATGCGGCAGCTACCGCCTAATGAGCCGCAGTCAAAGGCAAGTCGTTGACAGGTGGCAAGCGTAAATGTAAGAAACTACGAGACGAAAGTGATTAAAGAGAGCTCGAAAATATTAATTAACTTATCCCAAGCAGCGGCGCGATAAGCAAAAGTCGTGACCCGAGCCGGGCAGTGAAAGCGACTTGCAAAAAACAGAAAACAGAAAACAGAAAATCTGGTTAAAAGCAAATCCGGCTAAAAGCCAATTGAGTCAACAGCAAGTTGCCAAGGCGAAGGCATGGGCCTTGCATAGATTAGAATGTGAACCAGTTGCAGCTGATGCAACTGCAACTGCAACTGCAGCTAATGTATGCAAAAATACCAAAAGAGCCGGACGGAGGGCGGGGCGAGTTGCGCGGCTTTAACAAGCTCGTCGGCGAATTAGTCGAACGTGAGCTGCGCCAAATGCAATTGTCGAGAGAAGCTGGGCGACACGTGTGTCTCCCTACAGATTAATATATATATATATATTTGTGTGTGTGTGTGTGTGTGTGTGTAAATAAACCAACTGTCAAGCACGCCTGCGCACACACAAAACAGATACAAGATACAAGATACAATATAAAAGATACATGCTCGTTCACAACAGCAGCAACAACAACAGGCACCTAAGGGTGCCCCTAGGCGAGTGTGTGCAGCTCTAGCGGATACCCTGTAAACAGCTGCGAGCTCTAAAAAAACATAAATTAGAATATATCTATATTTACAGCTATATATTTTGCTAAACTACGAGCAACTTTTAGGGCTTTGCCTTATTGAATACAAGACATTTCATTCTGCCTGTTGCATACACACTACACTAAACCATCATACCTCTAGTCTCACACATATTCAACTTGTACAGGGTAGCACAAAAGGTAACAAGAGTGCGCGCATCGCGCAGGCGTTTGTTGTCATTGTCGAAATTTTACACACACATCGTGTCCCAAGCGGCGCAGCAATTGTGTAACGCTTCATTATGGACATGATTAATATGTTTATAAACAATTGCCAAGTCAATTAATAGTACAAAAGAGGTAGAGAGAGAGAGAGAGAGGGAGCGGAGAGGGGCGCTAGATTAATGAAAAGCATTTAGAGCTGTTCAATTCCATTTGGACACGTCAAGTTGAGCGTATGTTGGCGCGTTTAAATCTTCATTAAAACGCCGCTTGAACAATATTAAACTCGCAGATACAAATCTACGATAAGATACAAAAGCATACAAAGTCACATGCACAGAAAGGCAGCTCGTTCGGGCGCTGCTCAATTAAGTAAAATGCCGACCACCAAAGACCAGCAGCAGCAGCAGCGACAGCTACTCAGCTGCTCAGCTGCAGATACAAAGATACAAAGATACAGAGAGTATCTGAGTATCTTTCAGATACATTTCAGCTGCAACTTTTATCAGGCACTTGCTGGCGGCTTAGTGTCGTCAACTTTTTTTGGTGCTCGCAACAAACTGAACAACTGTTTATGTTCGAGCAGAAGAGGCAGGAGATAATGGAGGAGGAGATGATGGAGGGGAACTTGGAGCAGCAGAAGGAAGGGGGGAACTGAGGTAGAAGCAGGAGCAGCAGCAGCAGCAACAGGCAGCTGCAGCCAGCGGCACCTGCGCGCAAACAGGAATCAAAAACTTTGAGAGGATTTCACATACCCATTGATAAGTTGGCTATAAACAAAAGGGTATACCAATTTTGTGAAAATGTATCAAAAGGCAGTTGGAGCGAAGCATGAGATGGGAGCATGAGACACGACACATGTTGATTACAAGCAGGTGATTTGGGGAGAAAGGAGAAGAAAGGAGAAGAAAAAGACGGACTCAAGATGATATATATCAAATACAAATTATAATAAATAAGCCAGGTCTTGATCCTGACAAAAAAAAACACAATTTTGTGACTATGTTAAATGTTGAAAGCTGCATTTTCGAATTTTCAATCTTGATCATGTCCAGCAGAGTTTATCATATCAAATTGGGAATATAAAATATATATGCTTTTGCGTGACTTCTATATTAATATATATTGTCTCATATTTTATAAGCAGAACAACGATAGAAGTATAGCCCGATATCGATTCGCGTCTTGTCAAACGGCTGAATCACAAATGTCGCATTATTAAAGTAGTTTATACTACAATTCAATTTACATAGTCTTTATTTATCTTTCTATAGTCTTAAACCCCCAAAATATCAAGAAACCCTCAATCACATATCAAAAAGTTACTTAAGACTTCCATTTTCATAACTAAAGTGCGCTGCTTGTAGGGTATCTATGTGTCTGTCTCTACATCTGTTTGATAAGCAATCACGACTGCATATTGCAGCAATACGTAGCTGTCGTCGCACAGGGTATCTGCTAGTCGTGCACGCTCCAATAGAGCACTTTTGTTTCATTTTTAACGTTGTTGTCTTTTTTTTTTGTTGGCTTTGTCTTCGTGTTGCCTGTTGATTTGCATGCGAGGCAGTCATGTGTTGTTTGTTACGTGTTGCAATTGTTGTTGTTGTTGTCGCAATTGTTGTTGTTGTTGTTGTTGTTTTTGTTGTAGTGTATTTAGGCATGCGCAGAGCGCACCACACGAATCAATCAAAGGCCAGCGAAAACGCGCACATTCGTCGCGCCACTTTAAACAAATTCGCATAAACAAATTCATTTATCGATTATTTATATATTTATATTTTTTCTCTGTATGATTTATGCGTCAGCCACACGCGACATGTTTTTTGGGGTCGAGCAGCGGCATGTGCCGAACGGAGGGGGCGGGCTGGGGCGATGGAAGGGGGACTTAGTGAGGCGGTCATTCGAGCAGTGGACAATGCGTCGCTTTTATCGGACCAAGCCCAATTCAAAAGTCTATGGCCAGGCGGCTGCACAAGTTCCGCGAAACAGTCAACAACAACGTCAAAGAGTTTGCGCAACATTTTGAAAAAAAAAAACAAGTCAAATGTGATTTTAATTTAAGCAGAACATTCTCAACAATTCGATTATTTTTTAAATATAATAACATACCATTTAGTTAAAAATATTCATTGCATATATTTAATAAACTTAGAAATATTTTAGCTGATTCTTTTCTAGTCGGGAGCTCCCGGGGACTAGGAACACCTACATATAACATTTCAAGTCTCTAGCTCTTATAGGTTCTGAGATCCTTGCGTTCATACGTACGGACGGACGGACGGACAGACAGACTGACATGGCTAGATCGACTCGGCTATTGGTGTTGATCAAGAATATATATACTTTATGGGGCGGAGATGCTTCCTTCTGCCAATATACCATTTCTAATGGTTTCAGGGTATAATCATCGAAAAAGTTTCGATTTTCGCACCGACCCTGATTTTGAAAAAAAAAACGTGATGTAACCCCTTTCCATTTTGTCGATTTGGGTCAAAATTTGGATTCCATTCCAATCGATAGAACTGATCCGAGTCAAAAATGGTATGAAATTGCAAAATCGGACATTATTTGACGGAAATATTCCAAAAAATCATCAAAAAGGTTGAATTTACGATCGAATCGGTTTTTTGTCAACAACATTTTTTAACCAATCGATGAATAATAATGCCAATTGATGGTAGGGATCCGTACGCATTCAAAAAGGTGTAACATTTTAAAATCAGACATTTACCCGAGATATTAAAAAAAAATCATCGAAAAAGTTACGATTTTCGCACCGATCTCGACCTCCGAGCGACCTAAGCGAGGAGTTATGTCGTTTTGGAACGTCATATCTCCGCGCGGAGTTATGTCGTTTTGGAACGTCATATCTCCGCGCGGAGTTATGTCGTTTTGGAACGTTATATCTCCGCGCGGAGTTATGTCGTTTTGGAACGTCATATCTCCTCGCGGAGTTATGTCGTTTTGGAACGTAATATCTCCTCGCGAAGTTATGTCGTTTTGGAACGTCATATCTCCTCGCGGAGTTATGTCGTTTTGGAACGTCATATCTCCGCGCGGAGTTATGTCGTTTTGGAACGTCATATCTCATCGCGGAGTTATGTCGTTTTGGAACGTCATATCTCCTCGCGGAGTTATGTCGTTTTGGAACGTCATATCTCCGCGCGGAGTTATGTCGTTTTGGAACGTCATATCTCCTCGCGGAGTTATGTCGTTTTGGAACGTCACATCTCCTCGCGGAGTTATGTCGTTTTGGATCGTCATATCTCCGCGCGGAGCTATGTCGTTTTGGAACGTCATATCTCCGCGCGGAGTTATGTCGTTTTGGAACGTCATATCTCCTCGCGGAGTTATGTCGTTTTGGAACGTCATATCTCCTCGCGGAGTTATGTCGTTTTGGAACGTCATATCTCCTCGCGGAGTTATGTCGTTTTGGAACGTCATATCTCCTCGCGGAGTTATGTCGTTTTGGAACGTCATATCTCCGCGCGGAGCTATGTCGTTTTGGAACGTCATATCTCCGCGCGGAGCTATGTCGTTTTGGAACGTCATATCTCCTCGCGGAGTTATGTCGTTTTGGAACGTCATATCTCCTCGCGGAGTTATGTCGTTTTTGAACGTCATATCTCCGCGCGGAGCTATGTCGTTTTGGAACGTCATATCTCCGCGCGGAGTTATGTCGTTTTGGAACGTCATATCTCCGCGAAGAGCCATTACCCGAGATATTAAAAAAAAATCATCGAAAAAGATAAGATTTTCGCACCGACCTCGATTTTGCCATTTTGTCGAGTTGTGATAAAAAAGGATCTTAAATAGCATTACAGAAAAAAGTCGCAATAACCAAAGCTGTTAAAATGCGAAGCAGACGTGCATGAATGTGTGTTTGGGACATGTATACAGAAATTCTTAAAGATGCTCTATTCAGACGGACGGACGGACGGACGGACGGACAGACGGACACGGCTAGATCGACTCGGCTATTAATGCTGATCAAGAATATATATACTTTATGGGGTCGGAGATACTTCCTTCTGTCTGTTACATACATTTGGATTTTGCACAAATACAATATACCCTTATACCCATTTTGAATGGGTTCAGGGTATAAAAACTAAAAAAAATTATAATAATTTCTACATCACATTGCACATTTTGCGGTCACACAAACAACAAAAACCAAATGAACTGACACAAGTCACAGACCTCAACGAGCAGCGACTTCAATTGAAATCCAAGAACAGCAACAACAACAACAACAAGAATATAAAAAAAAAAATAATAATAAAGTCCAATTCAGCATTTGGACACAGAGTCTTATATATGAGAATACCAAGTATTCTACATGCCACTCATTGCGGCGCGTTTTCCGGTTACTCGACAACAACAAAAAAAAAAAGTGAAACAACAACTTGGTCTACATTAAAACTTCATTAGGTTTTTAATTATGGCTTAAGCAAATAAACTGGCCAGTTAGCCAAGCCAAGCAATGGCCTAAACTATGGCACTTTTTCAAGCATTTTTCAGACCGAAAATGATTCATCCGACAATTGAATTAAGCCTCTAGAAGCATAAGAAATAAAGTAAATAATAAAAGCCTGCATTTGCATTTGTGGCTTGTTCTAATGAAGACAGCGGCCAGCGAGCAACTTCCGGCAAATAAAAATATATACAAAATATATTCAAATAAGCAAAATGGCAGACTTGAGACTGAGCCATAGAAGTGTTGCCAAAACACGACGGAAAATAACATGGAATATGTCAAGAGACTCTTTTGACAAAGCGACAAATTCGTATTTCATATATATTTCATATTTTCTGTGTAGTATCGACGTTTAAATACTCTTCAAACATGTGGCAGGTGTAATTTTAATATATATTATTTTAATGATCAGAGAATGCAGTGAAAGAACGATAATATATGTATATAATACTCATAGTAAGCCAATGTGGGAAACCTTCCAAACTCATGTTTGTTTAAGATATATTAAATATCAATCAACCAAAAAACCTAATTTCAAGCGTAAGTTCTGGACTCAGCTAAGTATATTATATAGTCCTCCGGTCCAACTGCAGATCCAAGCCAGGTTTCGAGAGAGCTTTAATAATATCGACATATAGTCACGGTTGACATAAGTTTCTCATAATAAGGTTCATTCCTAAGTACTAATTGGAAATTTGCAAGAAGATTCTCATGTAAGCAATGGGAAACTCAAGGATAATTCCTAGAACATCTCTCTATTCTAAAGAATGTTGACATTTTGGAAAGAATCAAATTCACATTTTTAAGAGAATATTTATGCAATTTAGGGATAACAAACACTTTCAGATTATGTCAAAAGAAAGTTTATGAGATTACAATTAATCGAAATACAATGTATACGATATATGTCTCGATCAATCAAATTTGAGCTTAAATATAAAACAATAAAAGCTCTAGGGGATTACATGTTTTAGAGTAAATATTGTGAATTCTTTTAACGTACAAAAAGTTCCTGTTTCAGGCCAGGAACTGGCATCAAACACACATATCAATCAACAAGAGCCTGGACAGTATTATAATAACAATCAAAACATGCATATGTATCTAGATACATCTCTATTTATAGATGTATCTAGATACATATGTATCTAGATACATGCGCTCTTCCAGTCAATTCCGACCAAGGTCTGCATTCCGTTGCAGCTCTTGTAATATTAGCGCAGAATATTTTATTACACAGAAATTTATGCAAAAACCAAAAAGAAAAACAACAATAAACAGAGGCAGGAGTATAAAAAACCAAGACAAGGAGGGGTTAATACACTGGCTGAAGCAAAGGGGTGCGCGGGGTGCGGGGGGGGGTCTACACTGAAAGCTTTGGCGACGCGCTGCCGACGGCAAAAAACACAAACAACCGAAAAACTGTTTTATATGCAAGGCAAAGAAGAAGAAGAAGGAGCAGCAGACATTGGCAAGGGCGCAAAAAGGTTTGTGTAGAAGATGAAGAGGAAGCAGGAGCATCAGAGAGGGACGCATGCGCAGCTGCAAACGTCGCCAGCGTTGATTTATGAAAGTGCACGAAACGGAGCGGGCGACGGGCCAAAAAGGGCGATTGAGCCGGGGGCGCAGAATCATGCAAATGCGAACAGGAGTGCGGAGTGGGGGGGAGGGGCAACTTATGGGGCAAAGTGTGTGCTGCGTATGACAACAATTTACGAGCTTGCGACGAGCCATTTGTGAGCCAAACACCCACGCAACGATCTCTGTGGCAGAGCAAACACACTCACTTGCAGGCCCGGATATCCGTAGGCGCTCTGATAGAGCAAAAGTGTCATATAGACGACGGCAACGGCGAGTGTCATCGCTTGCAGGAGGCGTTTGTAACGTTGCGGCAGCGAGACAACAGTCAGGCTCATCATATGCTGGCGGCCACTACGCGAACATCGATCGTGCGATCGAATCGATAAGCGGATGGACACTATTATTTGCACGTCAGTTTAATTATTTTACTTTTATTTTTCTCTTCGAAATTTGCCAACTTCAGTGTTTGTTGTTTCACTTTTGAGAATTCACAGTTAGCGTTTTTTTTTTTTTTTTTACGAAAAACTCACGTATTGTGCAAGCGGCACGCGCGCGTACGTCTTGCTGGGGGCGAGTTTGCTAAGCAACTGACGACGAGCTGCTCAGCTTGGCTTTCCAGCGAAAATCGTAAACAAAACAAACGCAGCGAACAAACCTGCAAGACGACCCGCTCAACGCGAGAGCAACTGAGCAACCGTGCGTGCGAGCGAGAGCGCACTGCTCTGCTCCAATTGGAAGCGTTGTGCGCATGCTGCTGTTGCGCAACAGAGATAGCAAGCGCACGATCATCAACGCTCTCTCGCAGCAATTGCATTTTTCCAATGGGAGCACGAGAGAGCGATCGGTCGGGTTTGCTCGTTGACTGGTTAGTTCCGCCTCGGCATGTGCCACAGTAGCTGCCGAAGGCGATGATCGGTTGTAACGCAACGTGCGCAATTCGTGGGCGTTAGCGCTCTGCCCCTCTCTCCCTCTCACCATATCACTCTCCCTCTCTCTGTCTTTCGCATTGTCTCTGGCCTAGCTGTTATCCTGCTGCTGGCACGTCCTTGCACGCGACCTGCAGACATAAACAACAACAAAAGCGGCAGCCGAGCTCTGAGTGCATATCTATTTTTGCAGGCCCCGCTGCTTACTCCGTCACCCTCTCTACCGGTCCACGAGCCGGCAGCCGACGACAATTCCATTAAAAGTTGTTCGTTGTCACTTTGCGTTCTTTTATCTGTGGAGCATGTTGTGCGATCGCATTTTTATTGTCGCCATTGTTTCGGCCCTCTGCCTCCGTCTCTGCCTCTGCCGCAGTCGCAGTTACTGCCCACACACACACACACACACACACTCACACACACTCACACACACTCACATGCGCCTGGTTCGTTCCGTTTTTGTCGCTTTTCTTCACTTGACAATGCTTTGCATGCCATTGCCCCCGCACCTTTTTACCCGCCCCCTCTAGTCCACCTATCCCCTGCTCTGCATGGCCTGTCATATTCCATGTTTGTGCCGGCGACAAAAGCTCTTGCGGCTGTGCGCAGCTCTGCGACTGGCAACGTTGACGCTGACTGCGCTGCTCGCACAATCAGCAACTCGGCATCTTGTTCGCTGTCCCTTTGTGCGCCTTTCGCCTGAATTGCATTTAAAGAGGCCCGAACCCGGGCCAGCTCCGCGCTGCGCCTGTCCCACTTGGCCCGGGCGGCCAACCTTGTTCTGCCAACTGGAGGGAAAAAAAAGACATCGTCTACCCGGTCGCCCGTGCCGCGCGTCTCGCGTTTCGCTCGCCAAAATGCCTGTTAACCAACGTCGTTGCTCCTCATGCCTCATTTTTAATGTGCAATTTTTATACCCTGTAAACGAAAATTTTCTGAAATGGGGTATAACTCAACGTACGTCACGTACGTATTTGATTTTTGGTCTTAATATTTATTTAATTTAATAAAATATAGCAAAAATACATTTAGCCACAATTCGAGGCATATACAGGGTATCTATTAGCCTAGCGCTCTCCACTAGAGCACAACTTTACTAACAGCTCAAACTGATGCTGATTACAGGGTATCTTTTAAGTTAGCACTTTCCTCTAGTACAAAATTTTCCTTTATCCTGTTCACGGCACAAGCTGTCGCTGTATACAGGGTATCTTGTAGTTGTGCACGCTCCACTAGAGCAACACCTTTCTTGCCACAGAACCACTGCAGCTGTGTGTGTGGTTTGTGTGTGTGTGTTTGTGCGGCTTGTGTGTGTTTGCATAGCTGCTGCGGTTGGGGCATGTGCCATGTGCCTCGAAGTCCACTGACTCTAGTCCTCGGCCTGGCCGAGACACGGCGCGCCGCTTACTGCAGCCAGGTTTATCGCTGACCTAAACCTTGTTAGGATTGTAAAATGTAAACCGAAGGCGTCGGTTGGCCCGGTTGCAGCCTCTGCACACACACCCTCCCCCCTGCCAACCACTGATCCTCTTTGGTTGCAGCTAGAAATTCAGCTATAGCTGGCGGCCTGGTCGAGAGTGCACTTCAGTTGGCGCTGCGCTCGACTGGCACACGCTGCAGCTGCCTCCGACGTCGCTTAATCGAAAACGTTCGCGCAAACGCCCTGCGGTTGATCAGAGAGGGGAAAGAGGGGGAAAGGGGGCATGAGGAACGGTTGGCATAAAGTCAACGACTGCGCGCGTGCGCCAAAGCGCGCAACGTGTTCATTTCTGGGCTCCACTTTGGGAGCACAGGCAAAAATGATGCCCGGTAGTCATGCAACAGCAGGGGGGCAGGGGGAGGGCCAAGCAATTGTTGCAAAGCATTTTAGACTGACAGATTTGCGAGCAAGCGAGTGAGTGACTAGCTGACTGACTGACTGCCTGACTGACGCCTCTTGATTGCGTCTACGAAATGCCAACCAAATCGGAGAGAAAAAACGCCTACCACCCCGTCCCAGAATCAAGAGCTTCAACCAACATCCATCAATGTAGTATGTGGCCCGATCTACGGCCGGAACGTGTTGTCCTCCCATTCTCGATATTTGATGCGCATATTGATGGTGCGCACGGCGCACGGCACTAAGCAGCCGCAAGATTAATGTACCCCGAATTAGTCAGTGTCATTTAGTGGAACGCTCGCTGTGCCCCAGCTGATGGGAATCGTATTGTAGAGGCATAGTTAGCGTATTCAGACGTCACCCACTGGCCATTAGCCGGGCTCTTAGAGTCAAAATAAACGTAAATTACACGAGCTTGGCCCAATTGGCTGGTACAAGTTCATTGAAAGGCTGCAAGAGGCGCAATCAAAATTAATTTAAGCATTGTGTTCTTTCGATAACATCGATCAATAACTGTCAACACACCGTACGCTACTCTGTAGACGAAGTATATCAATTTGGTAGAGTGCTTTAACGAGTTTTATTGCTGCATTATGTCTTTAAAGTATGTGGGAATCGCACAGAAGGGTACACCCAGTTCTGTGCAGCCTTAAGCTTAAAACATACAAATGTTAGGGTGTCAAGCTCCTTGAGATTTGTTAAAAAATGGTCGCATATTTATATATTGTATAGTTTTTATCCCTTTCTAACCCAACATTTTGTTGTAATCAGGCAACTCGCATAGCTTTTCATATAATTGCTTAAACAGTGAGAATCGCAGAGAAGCGCCGTTAAAGCGCAACGGATAACTGGCGAGGCTTTTCCTGAATGAGAATCGCATAGAAGGGCAACACCAGTTCGACTTAAGCCCAAACCATGACTTTAGCCAATTCTTTTTCTGTTTAGCTGCTGCTCCCAAAAATTGTAAAACGAATTTCGTTTCACCATTTTTTACAGATTTTCGATTTGAGATTTTTTAGATTTGTGCGGTTGGGGCAAGAAAAGAGGAGACCACCTGGCGTCAGCGGAGGCTAATTGCATTGAAGGCAACGCTGGCACAAAGAAATGTTGCCAGGTGATGATATCAGCATGATCAAGCACTTAAATAAGTACAAATAATGGAAACACAGTCCCTTCCCCGCGCGCCGTAGCCTCCCTGCTCTCTTGTAGGGCTTACAATTTGTTGATTCAACGCGGCATGAAATCGCTTTTCAACTATGTTGAACTTTAATTAAACGATTTTTTTTTTGCTGGCTCTCGCCCCCATTTGCCCTATGCTGGGAAAACATAGTGGAGCCTTCTAAGCCCTGCCTAAGTTAAATTACATTTAAGCCGATTAAATTTAAGTTTGCCAAGCGTTTCGATTTTTCTAGTTTAGTGTTGTTTTTTTTTTTTTTTTTTTTGGTTGGCAGCGGCATTTGAAAGGTCATTAAAGTAAACCCGGCTAATAAGTTGACCAAACAGTGGACTGTCGACTACGCATAGTTCTGTGCTCAGTTTTTTCCCAAAACCTAATTTTTCAATTTACCAAAGCAATTAACAACAAATTTTATTGGCTTTTAAGTTGTGCAAACACTCGGCGCGCATAATAAAATGTATCTGTAAGATACGCACAACAACAACAACAACAACACACACAGTTTGCCGCTATTGATCAAGTGTTTGACGACTCTTCAAGATTTGTTTTATATACCCTACACGCAGCGAATGTGGACAGAATTGGGTGTCATGTTTTGTGTAGGAATATGTCTTTGGTATATGGAATATTTTAATTTTAGGGTGTGCATATCACCTGCATTTCATTAGCAAGAAGTCTATTGTTAAGCAATGAGAATCGCAAAGGCTTCTCCTGAATGAGAATCGCATAGAAGTGCAGTTCGACCATGACTTTGGCTAATTCTATATACCATAATAATAGAGAAATATTTATGATTTTTGGTAATTGCACATTTTTTAATGGTATCTTCAAGTCTTGTAATTTTTGACGCTCGAGCAATTAGCTCAAAAGTTATTTAAGAGCTAAGTTTTTATAGCATAGAAGAAAGCAGGTATTTTTATTACAGGGTATCTCTTGCTCGATCACTCTCGCCTAGAGCACACTTGTTTGTTGTTGTTGTTGGTTATTTACCTGAGCACTGCAAGTAAGCATTTCAGCCTTTCTTTAGAAACTGTGCAGCGAACCAGTTTGTTGTAGCCACACACACACACACAAACATATACCCCTTCCCCTCTTTTCCCGCGCTGTCTTCTCCAAATCTCTTTCCATCCCGCTGTTTGATTATGTGTTTCATTAATTAACAAACCGAAGCTGACTCTTGAAGAGTAACTAACGCCGCATAGTAGATGCAATTCGATATGTCTGATTTGCTGGTTATGTGAGTCCACAGCGTGGCAGCTACAACTCCAGCTTCACACACCCTTCCTACCCCCCTTTTATCCATCTCTCTATCAGCCGCTTGACATTCATATTTTATAACAAAAAGTCATGTGTAAATCTCTGGGATTGACACTCTCCGTAGGTGCCAGCTTGCATGTTATGCTACCGACTACCGAAATCCTGCTTTTGCCTCCTCCTGGGAGCCGCTGCAGGCTACCCAATCCAAGTCGCAGTCGCAGTCCCGGGGCCAGGAAGACTGTGGCGACTGTGGCCACGTTTTGGTCGGCTACAATGTGCCATAAATTTATGACACTAGTAAAAGTGCTCGCAATTGCTGTTGCGATACGAGTAAATGGTAGTCGTACTATCTG